AACAGAGATCCAGATGGAGAGAAGGTTGGGTAGATTACAGGATAAAATAGGTTGCACTAAACGGAGGGAAAAGTTAATGGAATATAAGGTAACCTCACTTCACAACATACCAAGACAATGAAAATTCAAGAAGAACATGGAAACATTAAAACTATGAGGAAACTCACAAGAAAGAACACAAAAAGCACAAATTCAGCAAAGGAAGATACACAGAACAAAGCAAGCAGCAACACCACAAAAACAAAAAACAAACATAATATCAGCAATTAATCCATACCTATCAATAATTACACTGAATGTAAATGGATTAAATGCACCAGTCACGAGATGGAGAGCAAGAGAATGGATAAGAAAACAAGATCCTTTAATATGCTATCTGCAAAAGACACATCTTAAGATGAATAGTAGTTTAAAATAATTAGCTGGCTATAATGGGGAATGGGAAACTGCCAGGAGCTCACTGCACACTTATGGTTGTTGTTGCTATTTTTGCACACTTATGGTTGTTGTTGCTATTTTTGTATGCTGTCACACCTATCATAATCTTGGAGGAAAAAAAAAAAAAAAAAAAAAAGCTGCAACACCTGTTCCCTGGGCAGAAATCATGAGCAAAAGGCAAATGCAGTTAATGATGAGTAATTTGTTCTATTACTTCTTCCATTAGGAGGAAATGCTCTATGCAAACTTAACTAAAGAATCTAATTGTATTGTAGGTGATGGACTCCTGCTGTGGATCTGTAGGCTCAGCACTGGACTGTGAACTACTAGGTTGGTAGTTCAAACCCAACAGCTGCTCCTTGAAAGCTGTATACATGGTTGCTATGAGTAGAAATCGACTCAACGACACTTAACAACAAATCAACATAGCAGGTGATACATTAAAATAGAGGGTATTTACCATTAACGAAGATACAGAGCTGATGGAAAATGGCAGCTAAGGACACAGACATGGAGATTATGGTCCCACAATGAAGAATACATATCAGCATCTCTTATGGGATGGACGGTCAATGAATACTTTTTTTTTTTTTTAAGCTACATGTTTAACTGGATGCTTTCTAACCATCACAATTCAGTGAAGCACAAAGCATTAAGTTATAGTTTACTGGGAAAGAAGGAGCATCATTGATGGCACCTTCCTTTCCTGGCTTCTCTGGGGGTAGAGAGTGGGGAAGGCTTTCTTTTAAAAAACCCAACCCTCATTTCAATGTACAAAAGAATTATTCGGATTAAAACAAAATGGAGAAAAAAGCAACTACTACTCTATTTTGCGGTGTGGGTGGGAGGAAAGAATGAGTCCTTCAAAGCAAGGGTGCGGGGGCATGAGGAGAAAGGGTCTGTGGCTGTAACCTCAGGTCGTCACTCACGTCGTTCCATTTTTACTTATGGTGGTCTCAGAAAGGTCCAAGTTCTTCTCTTTCTTTCCCTTTGTGTTTGCTCAGAAATTTTGCCAACTCACCACACAACCATCTCGACTTTCCTCAAAGCTTTTCGTCCACTCCTTTTCTCACTTCTTTTTTTTCTTGAGCTTCAATCTCTTCTTCCCTTTGTTACTTCCTTTCATGTACCTCTTTGACCTGTCTTTATTTTCTTTTAGTTTCCAGTTCAGCAAAGAGATTCATGGTCTGTACAGGGCTTGTTTGAACAGCTCAGCATCCTCCTCCTCTACATTTGTACGCTTCCCTTCCTTCTTTAATTGCTTTCTTCGTTCTTTCACAATGTGTTCCACATATTCTTTTCCTGCCTGAATTATACCCAGAGCCCTCTTCTTTTGCTCCTGATCAAGTAGCAACTTGTAAGCTTTGTTCATAGCTTCAAAAGCTTGTTGTGCTCTATCAGCACCGTCTTGATTTTCATCAGGGTGCACCTATACAGGTAACTGCCCAAACCTCTTTTTCACCTCCTCAGGAACCTATCACTTCAGGATCTATCTGAAGAACCTCAAATGGGTTCAAACTGAAGAGGAACCAGGACGGGTCAATCAATCTTTCCAATCTGATTTTTGGATGCTAGAGCGGAATCTCTCTTCTCTGTTTGTTTCACCTCACTATGTTGTTGCTGTTGTTAAGTGCTGCTGAGTCAGTTCCAACTCAGAGCGACCCTATACAGCGTTTCTGAGGGGTAGCTGGTGAGTCTGAACTGCCGACCCTGCAGTTCACACCAACACTGCAGCAGAGTGCTTTAAACATGTCCTCTGTGCTGCCTCCGCCACCATTTGTCCAGCCCAGCCACTGCCTCACATGGTTCTACGGGTCTGAATAATACTTCTTTATGTCCTATGCAGTTTTATTTCATGTCACAATAACAAGGACATCAAACAACTGATAGTAGGCAAGGGAGTCCATTTTTCCCAAACATTAATTTGTGTGCTTAAGTTAGATTTTATCTATCTTATTTTATTTTGTAATAAAATACACCCAGTTATATGATGAAAATATAAGAGATGTGTCATCCATACCTGTTACCAGTGCTGCATGGTTTTCTCCACATGAAACATAACGTATTTTCAGATCCTTAACAGGCTCAATGACAGTCGGTTCTGATGCTTCAAAAATATAAGTGCCAAGACCCAGTTGGCCAAACTGTCCCAGCCCAAAGGTGTACACGGCTTTCTCTAAAAGGAAAAGGGCAGAAAAGGATTACATGGAAGCATGTACAGTCGCCAGCGTAGCTAACAAAAACTGTGACTCAATCCTTTACAATGAAGGTTAAGGGCTTCTGACAGAAATGCCCATATAAAAAATATCTATGATTTAACTAAGAACCCCTGGTAGCACAGTGGATGACTAGCTGGGCTGCTAACCACAAGTTAAGGAGTTCGAAACTATCAGCTGTTCCATGGGAGAAAGATGAGGCTCTCTGCTCCCGTAAAGATTTACAGCCTCAGAAACCCTATACAGGGTCACTATGAGTCAGAACCAACTTGGTGGCACACAACCACCACCAAGACTTAAATATAAACTTTTTAATGACGAAGAAAAAGAGAAAAATGAGATGGCACAGATTTGCAAAAATAATGGCATGAATCTAATTTTATCTTTCAGACACAATCATAAAGGGAATTGCTATAAAGGAAGCAAATTACATTGCTTATAAGTATGCAATATATATATAATATGAGCTTCAAAAGTAAATGAACTACCTGAAATGTCCTTATAATTAATTACCACCCTATATGGAGTCCTGGTGTGGTGCTGTGCGTTAATGTGCTGGACTGGACTGAAAAGTCAATTTGAACTGCAAGGTCAGCAGTTTAAGCTTACCAGCTGCTCTTCGGAAACCCTATACAGGGTCGCTATGGGTTGGAGCGGCACTTAACAACAACAATTTCTATAAAAAACATCAATTGTCAAAAAGCTAATAGCTGCCACTGTCTTAAATAATAATAGTCTTCCTTAGGAAAAAAACACCATAGTTTAGAAAGTAATTTAATCAAATAATCTATTTCATAAAACACAATTTCTGGAAGAGAATTTGTCTGAGAATTAAAACAGAGTAGATATGCTAAATTAACTCTTAAGTGAAGCTCCTTTTACTGGGAACTAGCTCTGGTAGCGTAGTGGTTACGAATCGGGCTGTGAACCTCAAGGTCAGCAGTTCGAAATTACCAGCTGTTCCGCAGGAGAAAGATGAGACTTTCTGCTCCCGTAAAGATTTACAGCCTCGGAAACCCTATGCAGGGTTGCTATGAGTCAGAACCAACTCTACGGCACATAACAACAACAACCATATTAATAAGCCCTGGTTGGGGCGCTGTGGGTTAATGTGCCAGACAGCAAAGCCATTTGAACTGCAAAGTCAGTCAGCAGTTCAATTGAAAAACCAGGACGAGTGGTAATAAAAGGGCACTGCGGGGTAAAGCACTGGACTGCAATGTTGGTGGTTCAAACTCACCAGTCACTCCTTGAAAACCCTAAACAGGGTTGCTATGAGTCAGAACCAACCTGAAGGTGCTTAACAACAGCATATGCACTTACAACTCCTTCTGGTCACCACAAGGCAGACAGTATTTATTCCTTCAGCATTTACTCCTCCTTGTGGTGAAGTGTTCAACTGCGAACAGAATTGCTCAGTGATCTGAGCTCCGTAGAAGAAACATGCAGCAGTTTGCCTTGCTACACATTTCAGCCACCCAGCCAACCCACTGCCATCAAGCTGATTCAGATTCATAGTGCCCATGCCTTGGGAACTGTATGGGACAGTACTAATCTGCCCTTTAGAATCTGACAAACGGTTTGGGGTTCGTCTCTTTTACCTAGTTCAATATATTGACTGTCTCCTGCTCCCGGAGGAAGAACAAGAGCTCTGGATTCAATCAGGCAGGAACCCAGATCTTCAGTATTACTAGCTGTGGCAAGCAGACAAATAACCTGAATTGTCTGGGGAGTGTAGTGGCTCCATACGAGAAACACTGGATTGCAGACTACAAGGTCAGTGGTTCAAGCTCACCAACCACTCCGTGGGAGATAAATGAGACTTTCTGCTCCCGCAAAGATTTAAGGCCTCAGAAACCCTATACAAGGTCACTATGAGTTGAAACCGACTCCATGGGAATAAAGACAACTAGAGTTGCTGTGAAGATTAAATAAGAAAACATTCAAGCAGATCTTAAAACATTTAGTTGTAAAGAATACTTTTCTAAAAAATAACTGACACAATCAAGTCATCTTGTCATAATGGGGGCAGTGGTACCGGTTATGTAGATGACATTATCTACTTATAGTCTTTTCTTCTGAGGAAGCAGACAGTATTTATCAGACAGAAAAAATAAACAGTGTCATCGACATGACAAGAGTGGGTTAGGACTTGGGCTGTTAACTGTAAGGTCAGCAGTTTGAACCCAAGCAGTTGAACTCCTTGGGAGAAAAATAAAGTTCTCTGTTTCTGTAAAGATTTTAGGATAAGCACTGGACCACAAGGTCACTTCGAACTGCAAGGTAAGCAGTTCAAACTCACCAGCTACTCCTCAGAAATCCTATACAGTGTCGCTCTGAATTGGAACCAACTCAAGGGCACTTAACCACAACAAAAAAGATTCACAGCCTTGAAAGCCCTCTACAGGGTCACTATGAGTCAGAAGTGACTTGACAGCAGTCACTTCTGTGTTCAATTTAAGATTTAGTCAAGCTGATGATCAATACACCCTTCAGGTCCATTTCTTTAACAGCTGTAACTAAATAAAAGTTTCTCACCAGGGCTGAATTAGAAATAAAACTTCCACAGGTCTGTGAAGAAATGTGAAAAATAGGCAAAGCAATGAAGTTTCCAAGTAAATAAGTTTTTATAATTTACGGGGATTTCTATTATTGTAAAGTTAAGAACTTCTTAGGTTTTATTTTGAAAATGTCCCTTATTTTCAAAATGATGGTAATAAAAGTAATTTTTTGGAAACATCCATAGTCAAATGCAAATCAGAAGTTGGCAACCATATGTTGGTTGCCATAATTTAATGGGAAAAAAAAAAAAGAAACAACTTTAATATTCCATGAGAGCCAAAAGTTTGCAAAAAAAAAAAAAAAAATGTGTCTGGAAAAAAATAATCAATTTCTCTTACCATGTTGTTTAGTCTCAGAACACTGTTTGATATTCACAAAAAAGGAAATATCTTTAAATGCTGTCAGAATGTATCACACTTAAATGTATCTTTTACTGAAAATAAATATTATTTAAAATATCACTGGTTACCTTGGTGATCACTTTTTAAAAATCTTTTTTAATTTTTATAATGAACGACACTATTAATTACATGACCCAGTATTTTTGTATCCTTCAGAAAAACTTCAAATCACCTACTAAATAGTTCTTTGTACAATTTTATATAAGCTAGAAAAAACACATGATAAAGAATATATTTCTGTCTATAGAATGAGTTTTCAGATAATTACAAAGATTAAATTCTAAGTTTAATTTCCAGAACAAATCTTTTTGAAATTATAAAAGGATTCAGTGGTTAGCAAAAATTCACAAAGATCTTAAACCTCAAAACCATTTCCAAATTTAGAGTGGAGACTTTGAAAAAAAAAAAATTTCTAACTTGGAAAAGATGTCAGCTGAAAATTGTGAAAGGAAAGTAATGTTAAAGAAGCAAATCTTAAGTTCACAAGTTACTCCGTCACCTTGCAAATAGTTAACATATCATCTGAGACTTGGCTATTATTCTAATTTGTCTAGAATACTTCTAACATTGGGTTACTAAATATTAATTGGTGACTACAGAATTTTTTTTTTCTCTTTTTTCTGGCCATAAAAAAAATCAGAATTCATGATCTGATTACATTATATCTATATTACTCATTGTTTTTGTTAAGTGCCATAGAGTCGGTTCTGTCCCATAGTGACCTTGTATAGGGTTTCCGAGGTGCAGCTGGTGAGCTTGAACCACTGACCTTGAGGTTCAAATTGACTCTGTAGTCCAGCGTATTAACCTACAGCACCACACCAGGATATTATTCATTATTCATCAGAAATAAATCTACTTCTCAACCAATTTGGAAGCATCAATTTAATAAGGACATTACCAAATAGTAAAGAGCCCTGGTTTGGTGATGTACAATAAGCTCTGGACTGCTAACCGCAAAGTCTGTGGTACAATGCCACCAGTTGCTCTTTGGAAAACCTATAAAGGGTTGCTATGAGTTGGCACTAACTCCATGGCACTTTACAACAAGAAGTATATTTTAATAAGTGACTAGAATTCCATCCTAGCAGATAAATTCAGAAGCCACAAGTAATTTTTATGAGGGTTCTTTCAGTATGTGTAATTTAAAACCTTGATACTTTCTAATGAATTATTATAACAGAAATTAAAAAAACAAACTGCAAAGAAATTTCCAAAGTATACATTGTGAATATCAAAAGAAGACATTTACAAGTAAATGGGGAAAACAGCAATAAAGAGGAAGCTCCAAAAGAAGGCATTTCAGGAAAAATAATGTCAATTTTATAGCTATCAAATTAATCCTGTACATGAGGAAAACTCTTCATCTTTGAGAAAGAGATAAAAACTTATATTTGTTGCTATTAAAGATGTCATAGTTGGGAAAACATCAATTACGTTAGTGTAAACAATTCAACAAGATTTATCTTTCCTATATATTTTTTTTTTCTCAGAAATCAGAAATGTATATTACGGTAGTAATGTAAGTTGGGGGCTTTAATGGAAAAGATGCAAGGTCTCAGTACACAAGGAGTGCCACTTCCTTAGCCATTACAGAAAGCAGGCCCTACACATACCTGTGAGAACCACAGTGTGCTCTCCACCACAAGCTACTTGGATCACTTTTTCGGAAATTCCAACTACCAGTTGAGGGGTCCTGTGATTGGCCAGCTGTTCACTGGGAAGACCTAACTTCCCGAACTCAGGTTCTCCAAATGTGTAAAGTTTACCCTCCACTATTGAAGAAAAAGAACAGTGATCAGTGATGAAACAATGAACAAAACACCAGTCTTTAGGGTACATATTCTCATGTTTAATAACAGATTTAGATGACCGTGTAATAAGTTTGACCTTTCTTGAGATACAATACTGGATGGTAAGGAAATAAAATGAGATTGTCTTTCCTCCTTGATTATCATTCCTAATAAACAACTAGAAAATCCATTCGGCTGTTTAACTCAGTAAGTAGAAAGTCTTCTTTTTACTGAGTGAGCTACTGAATCACTGTGCCTGGAGAATGAAGCTAAAAGGGCTGTTGCTTCTTAGGAATGAATGAATGAAGACATTGGAAACTACTTAGCACAGTGCCTAACACATAGTGTCTAGTCATTATTAGTGCATATTACATCATTTTCCTTCTCACGTGCATGTGGAGAAACTGGGAGCCAGGAGAAATTCTTCAGGCCTTTGGAGTTGGAAGATCTGGATTCAAATTCTGGTTCGCCAACTCAGTTGGATAAAGCTGTGTTCTGATTCTGTCTCCACAACTAGAATCAGGGCTAATGCCACCTCTCTCACAGAGTTGAGAAACTTACCAAAATATACTTGTACTGGAAAATGCTTTGTAGACTGCAAAACTTTACACAACTTTTAGAGGGGAGGGCCTGTCTTAATCATCTTAGTATTGTAAGAAACTTCCTTTTAAATGACTTATGCATGGTATACTTCTGAATCATTACTTACAGAGTCAACTTTGCAAAGTAAAATGTTTACACAAAAAGGGTTAGAAGACAGACATCTGTAGCTGTAAGTAGGCTATTTTTTTAAAAGGGGAAGGGAAAATGTTCCACTTAACTCTTTCTTACATACAAAAATATAACAGAAATGATCATGAGTAAAGAAGTAGTTCATTTCATCTTTATTTGACTTCACCCAAATCTATTTGTATAAGATTTGGATTCTCCAGTTACTTACCAGGTTCTGATATCCACCGATCCTGGGATTGTGAACTTAAGCACTCTGCGAAGTTTTGACTCTCAAGTCAGTAGACTGTTCTACACATCTCACCCCCGTTCCCACAATCACCGTTCATCTACTTAGACTCCCTATTGCTTGTCACTTAATTTGGGCTTATTGATTGAAATGTTGCTAACATCTCAGGTGAAAAGATGGTAAGAACTGGTGACAATATTTGAAAACTCCATATATCGTATTTCTAGTATTTGAAAGAAGAGGTCCGGTGGCACTGTGGGCTAAGCACTGGGCTACTAACCAACAAGGTCAGTGGTTCAAATCCAACAAATATTTTGAAAATTCAATAGTTGACAAAACTTACAACATGAACACTTGCTCCTGATGTGGCACTCACTGTAGGATCAGCACTGGACTATGAACCTCAAGGTCAACAGTTCAAACCCATCAGCTGCTCCTTGGAAACCCTGTACAGGGTCCCTATAAGTCGAAATCGACACAACAGCACAAAGCAACAACAATGTGGCTTTAAAACACATTTGTTGTTACGTGCCATTGAGTCATTTCTGACTCATAGTGACCCTGTCTAGGGTTTCTGATGAGTTGCTGGTGGGTTTGAACAGCCGAAATTACAGTTTTGCAGTCCAGTGTTGCTCCTACAGCACCACACCAGGACTGCCAGGAGTCCTTGTGTGTAACTTTTCAGAACTCAGTGAAAGGTTGGCAGTTTGAAGCTACCCCACAACTATGTGGGAAACAGACCTGGGGACCTGCTTCCATAAAGATTACAGCCTATGGGGCAGGTCCACTCAGTCATAAGGGTTTCTCTGAGTTGAAATCAACTTGAAATTACCCAGGTGGATTCAAAAGTCTCTAAGATGGCTTAAACACTGTTGTTGCAGATACGTGCAGTCAAGTTGATTCCAACTCCTGGTAACACTAGATGGACAGAGTAAAACTGTGCTCCATAGGGTTTTCAAGGCTGTGACTTTTGGGAAACAGATCACTAGGCCTGTCTTCCGAGGTACCTCTGGGTAGGTGCAAACTATCAACCTTTCAATTAGTAACCAAGCGTTCTTCAGTTTGTACCATCATTTGTTGTTCTTGTGTGCCCTCAAGTCAAATTCAATTCATAGTGATCCTATCTGATAGAGTGCAACTATTTATTCCACAGGATTTTCTAGGAGGCCTGGACTATAAGCTCAGTTTGAACCGCAACGTCGGTGGTTCAAACTCACCAGCCGCTCCTCAGAAGCCCTACACAGGGTCACTATGAGTCGGAACTGACTCAGTGGCACTTCACAACAACAACAACCTTTATGGGAGCAAATCGCCAAGTCTTTTTTTCCTGCAGAGTCCCTAGTAGATCCGAACTGCAAACCTTTCGGGTTAACTGGCAAGTGCTTAAACCATTTGCCACCAGGGCTCCTATGGTACCTACCACTCAGGTGCCCCAAGAAAGTGCATTATCAACATGTTTAATAATTTCCTAGACTATCATTTTCGTTTGTTTCCAACCTACACACATGTATTTTGTGAAATTCTTGTTATACTAAAAAGTCTAGTACTGTTATTCTTAAAGATACAGTACTCAACTCTGAACTGAACTCCTTGTGAAATAACTGGAGAAACATACTTGGCCAGCAAGTGTGACGAGTATGCAATATACACCTACCTGTGCATGAAATGAGCAAGACAGAGCATGAGGTCTAAACCAAGAGTTCAAATTTAAGTCAATCAACTTAACAGTATGACTCTGTGACAGAACTTTTCTGATCTATAATTTTAATCAACTACTTTTCACACTTCTAGGGTGCTTTTTCTTTCTGAAAATGTTCAAAGAGTTTTCAAAAAGTGACATTATTAATTTCTGTATAAATCCTGGAAGCCAGAAGACACAGGAGGGCGTGAGTGCTCGGGACACTGGTAGCTCTGTGTCTACAGCACTGACTGTCTCCCTCTCTTTCACAAGCTCTCAGAGCAGTGCTAGTGAAAAATATTGTTGTTTTTTCCTTCTCATCTTACACATAATATGATATACAGGCAAATATTTCCATTATTCACTTAGAGCAAGATAAACTAATTGGCCTATTGCTTTAAAAGGCATTCTGAGCATCTTAAAGAGAAGATTGTAAGCATGGCAGAAATGCCACGTTTGAAGATGTTAATTAGCGCTCTAAAATCAAAGTACAATCAATAGATTACTGTGAGTTTAGACACAAATGGGCCTAGTTAAGGGGGCAGAATAGGTTTGTCTTCTCTCTTGTGGCCAATTCACTATGTTACCTCAAATCCCTCCAGAATGTGATGGGCTATCAACTGGCAGCAACAGAAAGTTATTGAATGCCTAGCCTTTCCTGAAGCCCATTTCAGAGATTATAATCAGAGGGTTTGACCAGGATACAGACAGGTCTACACTACTCAAACAGATCTCCCTCCAAAAGCCATTATGAAATCAGAAATAAGAATTACCCTTTTATGAAGATAATCCACTTTTTCTCAGTAATAGGTTCTGCATTTTTATTGAGAATTAAACTATTCCTTGTAAGTCTCCAAATTCAACAAAGAAAGAGAACAAGGTAACAATGTTTTTATCCCCCTGTAACATTTTTATCCATCATGAACTACGTATTTAGTAAAACCTCTTTTCCTTGAGCTGTTTTCAAGATTGTGAAACTTTGCTTTAAATAACCAAAGTCCTAAGATAATAGCTAGTGAGAAAATTACTGACAGATCAGAAATTCTATCACTTGATATAATGAATACAGAGAACTTTCTAGTTTTTTTAAGGTGTAAAAGCCCAATGCATATAAAAACCTGTAAAAATACTGGGGAAAAAAAAAATCAGTAGCATCTCAATAAAGCTGCTTATTTAAAACAACAACAACAAAAAATTCAATGCCTACTGGTTAATGTGAACAATCCCACCTGTTTAATTAATAATTAATTAATAACCGGAAGTTATTAATAAAACTGATTCTGGCAGCTTTGTTAAAACCCAAATATAAGGCAATGCTTTTGAATGGACTTTTTTTGGTTGGTTATTCTATTTGTGTGGGTTGTTTTTGGTTTAATAAACAAAGAGAGCATACACTATACCATCTCCAGGAGTCCTAAACTGGCAATAAGGTGGTACATGGTATTGCCTCAAAAGAATGCAACCAATCATTCATTCATTTACAAGGTAACAATATTTATCATCAGTTTGTTCAAGACACCAGGGTTACAATTAGGGTTGGTCCTCTCTTAATGCCATGTTGCTGTCAATTCACTGGCAAATTTGGGGGACACTGTGTCAGTTGGAGCAAGCACTAATGGCACTGTGGTTAAAGTGTTCACTGATAACCAAAAGGGTGGCAGTTCAAATCCACCCACTGTTCCATGAGAGAAAGATGTTATAATATGCATCTAGAATGAGTACAGCCTTGGAAACTCTATGGGGCAGTTCTATGCTATCTTACAGAATCACTGAGTTGAAATGTCTTTGATGACAGTGGGTTTTCTTGGTCAATGGGACTTTCTAAACTGGAATCCATGGTATACATTAGAATAAATGTGTAAAACAAAAATTTAGAAAGCTGTCTATGTACTAGTGTAGATGTAGACTATGAGAGTCCAACCTTTCAAATATTTTAGCTAAGGAGAAAGAGGTTGCCTATGGGCTCAGGAAGGGAGAAACTGTGGATGCTGAGAAAAGTCCCATCCAAGTAAATCACAATGATCTCTCTTTTTTTTGTCGATCTAGTCTTAATCTTTGCCCCAACAATGAAAGTCTATGACAATGAAAGTCAATACCAGGACAAAAGTACAGTTAGCGATAGAGGCAAATGAGTTCCGAGCTAAGTTGTCCATAGGTCTGTTTATATATATATATATGCCAAAAGCATTTGAAAAGTTTGAGAATCAAAATTTAAAAGAATTGGAAACAGCAATTTTGTTTTTCTAACAGACCCCATAACCACTTGAAAAGTTGAGATGTTAAGAGTTTTTGCTGTTGAGTATTAATTACAAACTCTCACCAGAGACAAGCAGAAATACTGTGATCTGAGACCAAAATTACTTCATTACATGAACCACTGTGGTGTTGTTTCTATAGAACTGTGGAATACAAGTTACATCATTCTCTTAATTTAGTAGTAACTTAGAAATGGGAGGTACCATTATGAATCCAAAATTTGCCTTACTTGTTACAAAGGCTGAGTGGTAATAGCCACAAGAGATCCAGGAGATGGGTTTCCCAACTGTCACTTGATGAGGGACACACACATTAGCCATTTTGTTTAAACCAATTTGCCCTTCAGAATTGTCACCCCACATAAAAAGTTCTCCATCCTCTACAAAGAAAACACAAAAGGGGAAACAAAGGTTTCAAAAGAAGCAGAGCTAGGCTGTTGTTAGTTGCTGAGGAGTAGGCCTCTGACTCATGGTGACCCCATTCATGACCAAGGCTGCCCAGTTCTGCACCATCCCCAGGATAAAATGTGGGTCACACTGGTGTGATCCAGAGGGTTTTCACTGGCTCTTTCAGTAATATACTCACCAGGCTTTTCTTCCTAGACCATAGTAGTCTAGAACTCACCTGTCTAGCAGCATAGTGATCTTCACTGACAGACAGGTGCCAGTTGTGTATGAGGTACAATTGCTAGAAATCTAACCCAGGTCTCCCATATGGAAGGTGAGAATTTTACCACTGAACCCAGGCTATTATAAAGTCGTACTTCCAAGACACCATTTCTTTTTTAATCTAGAAACATTCTGTGTTTTGAAAGGAAAGTACTACTAAAACATTTATGGCAGCTAGCTCCTTAAGGGTTCAATTTCTGCTATGAAGTATTGGCAAAATGATAAAGAACAGAGCATAACCGGATTGTAAATCAGTTTATTCAAGTTCATATTTTCATCTCAATAATAAAAACAGATGCTTTTTTATGACTAACTCCTTTTTCTTTTTTCTAAATTTCTTTTTAAAAACTTTTTATTGTGAACTGGGTGAAGAGCATTTAGAACAGATCATTTTTCCATTCAATGACTTATACACTACCTTTTTCTTATTATAATGTCTCTAAATGGAAAATGTTTTCCTTCTTTAGCACAGTCCACCTGGTGAGGCACTGCAGATTAATATGCTAGACTGCAATGTCAGTTTGAACTGCAAAGTCAGTGGTTTAAGCTCACCAGGTGCTCCTTGGAAACTCTATACAGGGTTGCTATGAGTTAGAACTGACTTGACGGCACTTAACAACAACAACAACCTGCAACTAAACTGCAAGGTAACACGAACAGTACTGGCCATTCTCAGGTCAAAAGTACATGGGCAAGCTCTCTTGAAAACTCTGTGGAAGTCATGTTTTAAAGGAAATACAAAGAAAATATACTTTACTATTTCTTTATTATTTAGACTTGAAAAGACATAATCTAGCTTCACAATAAGAACTTTCTGCTAAGGGTTTTGATGCCAGCAAAACCCTGCAGAGGGTTTCCAAGGCTAGAAATCTCTATGGGAGCAGAAAGCCTCATCCTTCTCCCACAGAGCGGCTGGTGCCTTCGAACTGTTGACCTTGCAGTTAGCAATCCAATGTGTAACTACTATCTCAAAACAAGCATAAAAGTCTAGCTCATGAGCCAAAGTTCTACTTTCTAATCTCACCTGAAAGCAAATAGCCAATGAAAGAAAACTAAACAGCATTATTGTCTTCAAATCACTGTTGGTTTGGTTAACTCTGGTCTAAAGGAGAGGCATGTATCCCAGCTTGACATGGAGGGGGGGGGGAAGTTCTCACCAGTTAATGCAGCCGAAGTGTTAGATCCAGCAGATAGCTGTTTGATCTTATGCTGGGATGTAAAAAAGCTAATGAGATGAAAAGAGTTTCTCTCTTCAATATCACCAAGACCCAACTGTCCTTCATTATTTCCTCCAGCTGCATATACATGGCCTCCTTCTGCTCACAGAAAAGAAAACATCAGTAGACTATAGGCACCCTCTTTATGACACATGTCAGTGTATAAGATATTCCCTCTCTTCATAGTGGAAAGCTGTCATTATCCCATTTTTTTGGTGAACAATTTCATTATCAAAAAGAACACAAAACAAACAAGGCCGCATATTTTTTGAAATCATTCTAGATGTTAACTAGCAACTGAAATGCATAGAATGTGTGGAATGTATTTTCATACTAAGGCAGAACTTCATAAATTCAGGATGAAAAGGCGGAGAGTAAATTTCACTTTTATTTCTAATCCAAATCAAACTATTTTAAACAGGATGTGGCTCATTCATCTTAATTTCCCAACCACTGAAAGTTAAGAAATAATAGGTACAAATACATAAAATGAGGTATATCCACTAAGAATGTAATCATAAACACAGATACTTCTACGTCACATGATTATTTCCAATGTGTAGCTAAACCAGAAGGCAGTTTGGCACAGCATTTAGAAACAAAGACCCCAGAGGATTGCCTGGGTGCAATTTCCAGCTTCCTACTTACCAGCTGTGTGCCTTTTGTGCCACACCAGGACTCTTAGATAACCTGTACTTACCTTTAACCTTTCTGTGCCTCATTTTCCTCATCTGTATATCTGGGACAATAATAGTATCTACACTTCATAGGGTTGTTATGAGGAATAAATTAGTCAGAATTTATAAAATGCTTAGGACAGTATTTAGTCCAATATAAAACACAATATAAATGTTTGTAGTCACTTTCCCAATTAAAAGTATACCATGCCTACATTACAAATATTTCCAGTAAGCTCTAAATGAATGAACCTTTTTAAAAAAAACACCTATATATTATCTATCATACACATGAAGTTAAAGTCCAACTAAATTGTAGGGGAAGTCGAGGGGACCATCAGCCGACTCAGCAAAAGTTTAAACTTAAACTTAGCTATTATTTCAGATAAGAATGAAGCTAATTGATTAGCTTTCAAGTGGAGGACAATGCAAGGGTGCATGGAATTGGCCAGCAGAATTGAACACATATGAAACAAACCAGAGTTGATGATAATGTCAAAGTAATTCAAAGGAGCGCTAAATGTGTATGAAGTTGAATATTGCAAAGAACTCTGCAGAAGAAGTAAGGCTGGTACTAGGCCTCAAAAGAAAAGCCGAATTTGAATAGCCTATGAGAAAGAGAAGAGCCATTTCAGAAATGGAGAAATATGAGTGAGAGTAGAGAGGAGGTGGCATCTAGAAAGCAAGAACAGCCTGCCCATAGAAACTGAGGTGTGTGGGGAGAGGCAGGAGAAGTGGAGGGGAGGTAGGACCACGCGGAGGGCAAGGCCTGGGTGTCCAACTGTTCTAGCAGCAGTTTTTGAAGATACTTTACTTTTGCCACTGAATTGCCTTGGCATCTTTGTGTAAAATCAATTGGGCATATACATGTGAGCTTATTTCTGGATTCTGTTCCAATACTCTGTGTCAATCTTTTCTCTAATACCATAGACTTGACTACTGTAGCTTTACAGTAAATCTTGATGTCAGGTAATGTGAGTCCTCGAATTTCGTTCCTTTTCAAAATTGTTTTGGCTAGTCTAGGTCCTCTGCTTTCCCATCAATATTTTAGATTTATCTGTCACAAACAGAAGAAAAGCTATTTGTATCTTGACTGGGATTGTGTTGACTCACACCAATAAGCCTTTTGGGTGGTTTCCGCTCTCCCTCAGTAAGGAAGAAGCAATAACTGGAGAAACCAGCCCTTGAGGTGTACACACAGGTAAGGAGAGAGAAAAAAAATAGCTTTTTATTCAGTGATTTAATATTCACCTCATCTTTTTAAAAGTGCATTGACCATTTACATTTTTTAAAATAAATCCTAATCTTACTGTTGCCAAGGTATCATCTGTATTCATATCACAAAGTGAGGTTTCAGTCCTCCAAATTTGGCAGGAAGTGTTTTGATTGTATACTCTACCTGTTGAAACCAGAGTGTGGTTCCTTCCACAGGCAGCAAGCTTCACTTTTTCAGGTTTTAAGGCTAAAAAATATAAATATATGAAAGTTAAAATATTTTGTGGTGATAAAAATGATACGCAATTCTGGTCATATATTAACTAAGTGGTCGAATTGAGAGATTTAAACTCAGGTTTGTCTGACTCCAGATTCTGTGCCTTTAACTACTTACCCAGAGGTTTTCACAACAACTGTTACATCATAATAACCATTGAAGCATCGAGAAAAATACAGATGGCTGAGCCTCACCCCTGGAGAATCTGAGTAGCAGAGCCAAGATAGGGTCTTCTTGTTGTTAATTACCATTGAGTCCGTCTGATTCATAGCAACCCTATATAGGGTTTCTGAAGAGCAGCTGTTGGGTTTGAACTGTTGACCTATCAGTTAGCAGTCCAGTGCTTATCCTAAGATAGGGTGTAGGCATCTATATGAGAGGGCTTCAAAAATATGTGGAAAAATAGAATTAAAAGACTAATTAAGGCACCCTCATATAGAACTCCTGGTGTGGTGCTACAGGATTTAGCGCTGGACTGATCCTACAAGGTAGGCAGTTCAAAGCCACTAGCTGCTCCTTGGAAACCCTACACAGGGCCGCTATGAGTGGGAAGTGATTTGACAGCATTTCATAACTATATATATATAAAATCCCATAAGTAATTCATATGTGCTCAGGTCTAGTATACTGCCTTCTAGAAAATGTTTCCTCATTAACCTGATTCATTGCCTAAGATTACCATTTTCAAGCATTGCCTAAGATGAACATTTTCTATCCCACTCAATGAAGCTGAATGTTAGTTCAACATTCACAGATATACCAAAACCCAACCCAAGTCAACTACACAGATGTGTGATGTTACTAACTCTGACAAAAGAGCTCAAGAGTTTTACAAGTTATCCTATGAGAGTAACTTTGTGGGTCTATATAAATCAGATTAGGTTTTCTTTGATCCAGTTTGTATACACAAGAAGCACTACTGTTGTTATGTTGTTAGGTAGTATTGAGTTGATTCAATACTTATTTGAATACTGTTAGTATTTAAGTTAATTTTGTATATGACATTCAAAATTACTTTTCTTTGTTAGGTCAAAAGAATGAATGGGTCTGTGATACTGCATTTGAATGCCCCCCCTCAGGTTTATGAAACTAATATTATATTATGAAAGAACTTAAACATCCTATGATAGTATTTAAGTAGTTTCATGAGCCAACAAAAAAAAAGGAAGTGGCATCCAAGTGCTCTATCACTGAGTCATTCATTCTTTTGGGGTCCTTGGGTTTAAAACCAATGTGAGTCATAGACCCTACCTAACAAAGAAAAGTAATTTTGATTATCCTGAACCGACTCGACAGCACACAACAACAACAACAACATATAAAATTAATTTAAACATTAATAATATTCAAATTAATACCATAAAATGAAGAACTATGACATTAAAGAACTGCATTATCAAAATCAAAGTAGTTTATGAAGCTTGCTAAGTATTTAAAGATATAAAGAAGACCCCAAACCTTTGACACAGGTTGGTTTGTAGATCGTGGACTTTGATCCTAATCCCAACTGGCCCCAATTGTTACTGCCAAACATGTAAAGTTTATTATTCCCTGGTGGGAGGGGAAAAAGAAAATAAATGCATGCAATTTTTCACAAAGTAATATGAGATGAAGCCATCGCAAAGCAATAAAAAAGCTATGTACCTATTTCTCACTTAGCAACTATGTAAACATCCAACATTTTACATTTACAACAACAGTAAAAACAGTATCTCCAACTAATTTGCATATTAATGACTTCTGTCTGACAGTAATAGACACCAAGCTTCTAGGTGAGGTTGGCTGGGCCATGAGTCTCTGTGATGTGGCTGTTATGTAATAATGTAATGTAGCACTTAGGTTATGATACAGTCATCCTCTATTTTGTGATCTGATGTGGGCACCCTTCTTGTCTGCATAATGACCTGGTCTTTGGAAACTAACCAAGTCCATCAATGAGGAGCGGGTGCACGTAGAATTATAAGTGCTTTTCTGTGTTGAAACAGGTTACATGGTACATCTACATATAGCCAGACTCTATTAGGTATAAAAGAGTATCTACGATTATACAGTAATAGTTTTTTTAAATATATATGTATTACAATAGATCAACTTCAAGACAGTTGTGTGTACAAAGAATTATACTTTAAATATACTAAGGGAGCTGAGAATTTTTCTTGATTAATCAACCTGAGAAGAATTCTCTGGCAAAAAAAAAAAAAAACAAACAAAAAAACTTTCTATACATTTCAACATTTAAAACAGACATCTGATGGAATAATTTGGAAACACAGCAAGACTGATGATACAACTCGAAGAATCTGATCAATTTTTCTGAATTGCACATGTAGAAATTGTTGAGATAATGTATGTTCTGTCATATATACTTTCACAGTAACTTTTTAAAATGAAAAACAAAACAAGACAAAAACACAGCAAATTTTAATATTTCAAATTCTTTAAATATTACTCTCCTTGTTTAGGTTATTATACTAACCTGTTATAACAGCAGTATGCTCATCTCCACATGAAATATATACAGGTACGTCATTTCGAAACCAGAATTTGCTAGGAATATTTTCAGCAAATTTGCTTTTTCCGAAGGTAAATATAGCACCAGATTCTGAAAATATAAGATATTTTACAACTTTAGTAAAAGTTAAAAACACATAGAAGCTTCAAAAGATTACTGGAAAAATGGAATTGAAAAACAATTTTCCCATGAATTTTCTGAAGTTTATTGTGTGTGTAGACTTCAAATAGAAAAAAGTATTTAAACACTATTTCTTTCAATTGTACTATGAGCAGACAGCTTGAGGGTCGAAAACAGGCTTCAAAAGCAACTATGTATACAAACATTCAATTTGTTGACATTAACTGTACAATCCTGGACAGGTTATTTAACTGAGCCTTGGTTTTTATTGGGATAGGGTCTGAGCAGAAGTGATTACCCAATAAACAAGATAAACACAGGCTTACTTGTGCTTACTTACAAATCAGTAGTGAACAATTTCACATGGGTTTCACCACTTCAGATGTGGTTAATTTTTTTTTTTTTTAAAGCTGAACTTGTTCATCACAGATTAGTAAGTAAACACAAGTAAACCGTACTTACCTTGCTTGCTGGTTAATCTGACACTGGGTCTAAGCACTAATATTTCTTTTTATATAACCTGAACCTAGAACAGTGCCTGACTATGCAAATCTAATAGAGGTTGGCTGAATGAACATATAATGTGTAACTGATCTCAGAGTTATGAGGATTAAATAAGAATCAATTTGGTGGGTTGCAATGTGCATTTTTGTTGTTGTTGTTAAGTGCCATCGAGTCGGTTCCGACCCATAGCGACCCTGAACAGGGTTTCCGAGGCTGTAAATCTTTACGGGAGCAGAAAGACTCATCTTTCTCCTGCGGAGCAGCTGGTAGTTTCAAACTGCTGACCTTGCGGTTCGCAGGCCGATTCGTAACCACTACGCTACCAGAGCTCCTTAATGTGCACTTTTTAAAGGAATAAATTATAGAAAATGTTTAAGGACACCCCAGTAAGGTTGGGATAAGTACTACTTCGTGAAACGTGTATCCAGTTACACAGTATTTATGCGGTACGTAGTCACAAAGTAAACTATTTGTAACATTGGCCCTCAAGGATAAAAGTATAAAAAGCATTCTCGCAAAAGAATCCCTCCTTTCCCCGTTTCTCCAACGTGTTTCGCTTTATCCTCTTTTGTCCCATACATCTGGTCACCTAGTTTTTAACGCATTCAGTGCATAACTGGGGACCTCAAGGCGCACAACTCAAAGTAAGTACTTTAAAGAGTTCATAATCTACGGCCAAGGAGTCGTTTCCGACTCACAGCAACACTGTATACGGTTTCTGAAACTGTAACTCGTTATGAGAAGCAGACAGCTTCATCTTTCTCCTTTGTGGCTAGCTGCTGTTATTAAAGTGCTGTCGAGTTGGTTCCGACCCATAGCGACACTGTATAGGGATTCCAAGGAGCTACTTGCGAATTTGAGCCGCCAACCTCCAGTTCAAACCGAGCCTGCGGTCCAGGGCCCAGGGCTCCTAGTGGTTAGTAGTCGAGTGCTTATTCCACAGAGTCACCAGGATTTCTTGAAGAGTTTATACGACAGTAAAAAATTTCCCTCCTCTAGAGAAAGTCACTATAAACCTCTTCTTTTTTAAAGAAAAAAACCAGAAACATCCTCCCCCGATGCCCGCACCCCAGCCGATCGCCCCCTTCCTCTTTACCTTCACTAAATCTGGGGCGGGATCCGGACTCTAACTCTAGAAAGGCGGCTGTGGTCTCGCTGGTCACTAGATGAGGCTGGTCTGGAGGCGGGGCCTGGCCGCCCGCCCTCCCGCGGACCCTCCCTCCCGGCCCGCCGCCACCACCGCGGGCACGACTCACCAGGCACCACAATTTCAGGCTCCTCCATGCCACAGACACTACCGGGAACCCGCGTTTGGACCGGGCAGGTGGTGGGGGCGATTCGGTTGCACCTAAAACAACAGTTCAGTGCCGTCGAAGACTGTGGAAGACCAAAAGACCCCCATAAGTACACTCCCGGCATTCGATAAATCGCGTTCCCGGAAGTCAACAAACAGCATCTAGGGGCAACGGGGGCGGGGTCTTGGGGCGCGAGGCGGGGCGGAAAGAGGAGGGATGGAAGACGCAACGCAGGCGGGCACACAGTGGGCAGGCGGAGTGGGCGTGCGCCCTCTGCTGTCTCGGAGGGGTGTGGTCAATACTGCGCAGTAATCCTCTTGAAGGCTCACATTTATAGGGACCCCTCCGAAATAGCTGCAGACGTCACAAACACCACATACGCACTAGCTTGAACTACGTAACTAACGTTGACACATAATTAGGATAAGCTGGTCATTGTGACTAACATTTTTGATGTAGGTACTCTGCTAAACATTAAATCCTAACTCATATTTGTATTTCTACCAGCTGAACTATGGCTGGGCATGTATTAGATGCTCAGTACATATTTACTAATAGATCATATTACACCTCGTAAGGTGGTTTAATGTTACCGTGCGTAAGGATGTGGCGCTGGCCCAATATTTTACAGCCTACATCAGCACTTGTCCATCATAAAATAAATATCCAAAACGTTATCCTCCAATATTAGTAATATTCTGTGCATCTGGTAGTTGTGGGGCATGGTCCTTCGCATCAAAACTGGATTCAGGAATCCATGAATTCCTTGTGTGTATTAGAGCATGCCAAGGACTCTTTTTCCGTTTACATCAAAATGGGAAGGGGGTAGAGTTGAACTACCCAATACACAAATATTCATTAATTAACAAAGGAGAGTATAGTTACTAAAAACATATTTAATAAAGTGTCAGAGGCTGAGAAAGATTAACTTGAAGAAGAGATATGAAATCTAAGAATTAAAGAATGAGAAGATGGTCGGGGTGAAAGATCTGGGCAGAGAGCAAGCATATGGTGTGGACAGGTTTATAAAAGCTTGATTCTTTTCTGGAACTCAGAGGTGAGGCAAGCTGAAGGCCAGGAAGCAGGCTCTTGGGCCCATTAAGGATCTGAGAGTTTGTCCTAAAGACAATGGGAAATCATTGAAGGGTTTTAAGCTGGGAGTGACAGGGTCAGCTATATGGATTCCTAAAATCATTCCACTTGGCTGCTCCATGGAGAATAGATTGGAGCAGGGAGGAGGGCTCAGAAGCTATCGCAGAATTCAGACAAGTGGTGATGCTGGCTTGGACTAAAGTGGTATCATTGGCACTGAAAAGAAGCAGGCAGATTCCAAAACGTTTTAGTAAGTAGGATCCATAGGAAATGTCTGACCACTGACTCCTAGACAGTGCTTTGCCATCAAATGGCTCACAGCATAACTGTAAAAAACAAAACAAACAAACAAAAACAAAAAAAAAAACGTTGTCTGGACATTGATTTGATTTGGACACATAGCAACCCTATATGATAGAGTGAAAATGCCCCATAGGGTTTCCTACAGTGTAGGAAATATTTATGGGAAGGAGCTGTGGTTCCTTAGTGGTTATGAGTCAGGCTGCTAATCTCAAGGTCAGTAGTTCAAAACTACCAGCTGTTACATAGGAGAAAGATGAGGCTTTCTCCTCCCTGTAAAGACTTATAGCCTCGGAAACCCTATACAGGGTTGCTATGAGTCAGAACTGACTCCACGGCACACCACCACCACCAATCTTTATGGGAGGAGACTGCCAGGTCTATCTATCTAAGAAAAACTGAATAGAATGGTGTTGTTTGTTTTGTTTTGTTTGGGGGATGGTGGTGGAGATTCAGGAGAGTGAGTGAAGAATCAATAATGTAAGGCAAGAAGAAATGACATCCAGACCACATGTGAAGGGACAGACCTTAGCTAGAAGGAAAGACAATACTTCTAACACAATAGCAGGAACAGAAGGAAGCGCCTCCATTTTTCTAATGGGTAAGTTGGAGACTGTTATATTAGGTAAAGAATGTGAAACCTACAGCTTGGTGTTAGGCAAATCAGCTATGGTCACTGTATTCATCAGCATAAACCAGGCTATTGCTGTTGCATGCCATTAAGTAGGTTCCAACTCATAGATAGCAACTCTGTATAGGGTTTCTGAGAGTGATTGGTGGGTTTAAACTTCTGAGCTTACAGTTAACACCGTTAGCAGTCCAGTGTTTTCCTACAGTGCCACACCAGAGCTCAATCCAGGCTTTAATGCAATACAAAAACCAACCAACCAACCAAATCCGATGCCATCAAGGAGATTCAAACTCCTGGTAACCTCATGTGTAACAAAATAGAACTGAATTCTGTAGGGTTTTCTTGGCTGTAATCTTCACAGCTACTCCTTGGAAACCCTATATATGGTTGCTATGAGTCAGAAGCAACTTGATGGCACTTAACAACAACCATCTTTACAAAACCAGTACTTTCTTCTGCCCAAATG